GAAAAGAAAAGGAAAAAAAATAGAAGGTCCTTTTGAGTTTAAAGATAACTAAACAAATGTTTCAGATATCTGACAGTTCTTTGCACTGGGGCCCCCTCTATCCCTCTAGGGAAGTGGGTGACTAATATGAGACAATTCTAGAGTAACCGCTCAGTATTCTCAAATGATGCAGAAAATTCCAGAAATATTTGTGCAGTTAGGATGGCCTAGAATTTTTAAATTAAAAAAAAAAAAAACAATTGGCAAATAATACTTGCAGGAGTTGCTGAAGGTTAGACATTTTAGAAAATCTTACCCTGGTATTTCAATAGTCATCTACTATTGCAGTGATGTAGAAAGAAGCTTGATGGTTCCAGAAATCTCTGTCATGACTCTTAGTTCTAATTTTAAAGCACATTCTGACACAGGCAAGAAAAAAGTCTTAAATGTGCTCTCTGGAAGAACTTAAAGCATAGCTTTACATCACACACAAATCTGCATCACAGTGCCGAGGAACACATTCTAGAAGATGAGCAATTGCCAATAGGCCATAAAAATGGCTTGGGAGGGCCGGGTTATAACTCAGTGGTAGAGTGCTTGCCTAGCCTGTGTGGGTCGCTGAGTTCGATTGTCAGCACTGCATATAAATAAATAAAATAAAGGTCCGTTGACAACTAAAAAGTATTTTTTTTAAAAAAAATGGCTTGGGAAAAACCAGCTAATTTGAAATAAATCTTGAAAGAAGGAAGAGAGGTAGTAAGACCTTTATATCACAAGGGAGGGTAGGAAGATATAAAAAGGTGAAGAGATTTACCTGTGGCTACACACACATTAAAATTTCATCTTAAATGTCCTTTAAAGCCCATGTGTTCAAATTTGGGCCCCAGCTTGGTGCTAGAACTTTTAGGAGGTGGGCCCTAGTGGGAGGTCTTTGGGGTCACAGGGAGAAGGCATTTGAGGGTGATAGTGGATCCTCAGACCCCTGCTCTCATTCTGTGTGTCTTTTGTTCCCTGACCGTAATATGCTGCTTCACCATAGACTCCAAACAATAGGACCACCAGTCATGGACTGGAACCTCCAAAAGTGTGAGCCAAAGTCAACTTTTCTCTTTAAAAGTGGATCATCTCGGGCATTTTTTTAGAGTGATAGAAAGCTGACACCACTCTGGAGGAGTTCCTGGTCTTGAGTTCAGCCCCCTGTCCCCTCCAGCCAGCCTGGCCCAAGCCTTTACCTAGCTAGACATTCGGTTTTCTGTTAATGACCTTGGTCAAAGCAGACATAGTACCAAAAACCTCGGCAGTAGAGAAAGAGTCGGATATTTTAACACTGCAGCGTAGACTCATATAGTTAAGAGTAACAGAATTCAGGGCGGTTCAGACAAACATTCTGAGGAACCAGTGAGGCATGAAACTCCATTTCAGGGACGCCAGAAGAAGCCTCAGAAGGAACAGGTAAAAAGGGTTTTCAGATATCTCAGAGAAGCAAAAGCAGGATTTAGCCAGGTGGGCAGCGACCTTAGACAGTCGCACTTCTTTTAAGTGGATTTTGAAATTGTTGACAAAGGATAAAAGGGTGTAGAACTGACAAGTCAGGCAAGCAGAGAAATGAATGGATCATCATACAAAAGGACTGAAATCAGCCTAGGGATCTCAGTATGTACAATCATTTGGGTCAATTTTTTTTTTTTTAAAGTCTCAAACAAGATACAAGAAGCAGATTCAGGGTCTACGTTGGAAAAAGTTTTCATCTGAAAGAGCCGGGGCACGTTTAGTGACTGAAATGAACTGTGGGTGTCAACTGGCTCCATTTCATTGGTCCTTCAGCCACTCAACGGAGGCTTTCTAAATGAGGTACCAAAGCCACAGTGGAAAGTCGTCGTGTCCAATGCTCCAAGTCGGCTCTAACCACCCAGGGGAAACTCAGAATCATAGAGTTGTTTGTGGATTTGGCTCCAAGTCAGACATGTTTTGAAGCTTTCAACACTGACTATTTGCATCCATTAAATCAACTCGTGAAAAAGAGAGAGCAAGCAAATGGGATATGGAAACTTTGCGTCTCAGCAGAGAGCCAAGTCTTCCCCCCACCCACCCCAAACAGAGACCAGCAGAAGGGAAAGGGAAAGAGTTTGCTTTTCCCGGAGAGCTGACTTTTTCCTGAAAGTCGCGCAGGCCAAGGGGAAAAGCTTGGATTCTATAAGATCTCAGCTACAAGGAGGTCAGCTTCCTCCCATTTGCAGGAGGAGGACTTAGGGTCTCCTGGTTTGCACAAGCTCTGGGGCGGGCAGCGGGCACCCTGCCTAGAGAGTCTTGTGGCATTTTTCCTGCTTGATTCAAGCAAAAACTGTTCTTTTAGAAAGAGTGGGTCCAGCCTACTGCACACCACCCCCTGGTGCCATGCTGCTGCCAGGGCACGCAGAGACCTGCCTCCTGGCCCAGGTGCAGGGAGGGGTGTGCCTTGACGACTTAGGTCCCTTCCTCCCAGCTTTTAGGATCTTGAGACCTTACCTTCCAACCATGTGAGGTCATTAAAAACGATTAGCTCTGAATCAGGGGCGAATCATCCACCAGTTTCCTGCCTGGGGGGTTGAGTGGGAGGAAACGCTGGGGTGAAGCCTCTGAGACCAAAATCTTCATGGCAGTGGTCAGTGAGGGTAGGCCCCGAAAGGGAGGTCTGCCCCCGCCCCCCGGGTCCTGTTTCTATGTGCTTCGTTTCTTCCCAGTGATGACGAGGTCGTCCCAGTCCGCCTGGGGTGACCAACACCCTGTGCAAGGACACCCTGGCCCTAATCTCTGAGAAGGTGGGCCAGGCCGCCAGCCTCCCTCAGGCAGCGACCCCGCCACAAGGTGGCAGCCGCGAGCAGCACAATTAAATGGATTGCTAGAACCCAGAGCCTTTGCTCTGGGTTCTAGCAATCCATTTAATTGCAAACATTTGGATCTCTTAGACCGTGCACGGAAACGTTTTCCTTTGTAAGGTGTCTCCCTTGAGTTTCCCTCCCATGAAGTAATGGCAGAATAAGTAATCCATGAATTGGAGTTCAGAGGCCCTGAGTTCCAGGAACTTTATCTTGACTCCTTCCCCTGCTTCTGCAACTGACACCTTCCAGGTTTATGGTAACTTACTGGGTCCTGAGTTGGAATCCCCAAAGGGTGTTTGACCTCAGAGCCCTCCCAATCATCAGAATAACCTGGCGGGCAGGTGAAGGCAGGTGCGCCTGGGAATGCGCACTTCTGACCAGCTTCCAGGGTATCCTGGGGCTGCGGGTGGAAGCGGGCTTTCAGAGCCGCAGGCTACATGTCGTTCCCTCCCTCTTTCCCAGCTACGTGACAACCTCCACAAGCGACAGGCTAGCGAGAAGTTCCAACGCGTGTTTGTTGGGGAAAGAATTAGAGGAGAATTGAAATAAATGTTGGGGGAGTGATATTGCCTAAATAACATTGTTGGACTGTGTGCATGTGTGAATATGTAACAATAAATCCCATCAATATGTACAACTATCACGCACCAATTTTTAAATGGGGGGGGGATTTGAATAACGTATTGCAATCACGGCTGGGGCCAGGAAACTAGTTTGTTTTGTTTTGTTTTTTTCCCCTTCCATGAACTAACCTTTAACCTAGAGCAGATTTCCTCCTCCCCACCCCCACCAAAGAAGTCAAAGTTTTATCTTTAGAAGAGGACCTAAGCTGTAATCCTTCCTTCCTATGAGAATGAAGTCCATTTCCTTCTTTTTCTGGAATCATTTTCCCTTTATCCTGAACTAGAGTAAATATTTACTGAGACCTACTGTGTGCCAAATATCAAGCTGTTGGTGCTAAGAGGTTTATATACCTGAATTCAAAAGATCATCACGACCATTTTACAAAGTATATGTCATGAAGCTAATTTACAAATGAGCAACCCCTAGGGTTAGGGAAGTTTGGGGGGTACCCAAGGTCACAGAGCTGATCAGAAGTAATATAGGTATTACTTCAAGACCTGACTTCAAGGGATCAACATTTAAAGAGTATCACACTTTCTGGAATACTCCATCTGCTACGATATGAAATAATCACAAAAATGGAAGACCTGTCACAAGCAATTCTTCTAATGATCTGTCCATTCATACACACATTTTACTAAGCACATACGATGCGCTGTGCATTGTAATTAAGTCCTGGGAATAGTGTGGTGCACATATAAAACTTTTCAAAACACATTTTCTCAGGTTGTCTCATGAAAATATCTTCTTAATGGTTTGTCCTTTGAATTGTTCACATGAGCACATGTTACTAAACCAAGACATTGTATACCCTTTTCCTGTTTCTGGAAAACTTCCATTGATATTTTTTAACCTAAGTCTAACAAATCTGTTTTCTATTTTAATTAAAGAAGAATGTGTTGCTTTTTATTTTATTTTATTTTTGGAACAGAAAATGCATTTTCATAACTCAAAAGTCACAAGAAACAAAAGTGTAAAAGAATTAATATTAGTCTCCTTCCCCTATTCCCAGCCCCCAAGCCCCAGAGGAAACTACTTCATATGTTGTTTTTCCTTTCTTCTCTTTGTTCAAACACAAATGGTAGTTACAATCTATGAATTGTTCTCTACTTTTTCTTAGTTGGTACATCTTGGAGATGATGCCAAATCACTAAATGCAGTTACCTCCTCGTTTTTAACATCTACATGCTTAAATAATTCTAAAATGTACCATACTGTGTTTAAACTAGTCCCTTGTTGATGAACATATCATATGGCCCAATGTTTTGCTATTACAAACAATTCTACAGTGACTACTCTTGTATGTATATCATTTTACACATGAGCAAGTATACCCACAAGATAATTTCCTGTAAGGGGAAATGCTGGGAATTGAAAATAGTATGTGCATTTGTAACAGAAAAACTTTTTTTCATTATGGAATTTTTCAAGCATTACAAAGGAAAGAATAGTACAATGAACCCTCCCATCCCTCATCAAGCTTCAATGATTGCCAGTAATCCATGGCTGATACTATTTCACATGCATATATTGGCCCCATCCATTTCCCCCATCTCAATTTATTTTGAATCAATCCCAGACATAATGTTATTCCACTGGTAAATATTTTGGCACTGTTCCTGAAAAATAAGGCCTTAAAAAAAGAGAGAAGAAAGTGTGTATATAATTTCTTCGTGACACTTAAAGTAAACTAATAATTTAGTAGTACCTTCAAACATCCTGTTAATGTCACATTTTCCCAGATTGTCTCATAAAAGTTTCCTTTTTTAGTGGTTTGTTCTTTTGATCAGAATCCAAATGAGTTCCATATATTGTAGATGGTTAGGCCTTTTTTTTTTTAATCTATTGGCTTCTCCCTCTATTGCTTTTTCTTTTTCTTTTTGCAGCATGTTGTAGAAACTCGATAAATTTGTTTCCAGAGACTAGATTTTGCAGACTATATCCCTATGGAGTCATTTAAAATATTTCTAGGAGCAACAGAGAAACACAAAATTAAATTGTAGAATTTCTTAGTAGTAAAGAGAATATAACACAGCAAAAATCTGTCTGGTAGTCAAAGCAGTTACTAGAAGAAAAATTGTAGAACTAATTAACTATGCAATAAAAATAAGATCAAAATAAATAAACACAACTCAGAAAGATGTAAAAAGTAAGACAAAAGAAAGCAGAAGAAAAATGCAGAAATCATGTTTCATCACCTTGTAAACCTGTTTTTACAAACTGGACCGTAAGACTCATCATTTGATAACTAGAGGATCGTTTTGTCTTTGCAGCTATAGAAACAGACAATAAATAAATCTAAATAGTTGTCAACAACACACTTCATTCTGAATTTCAAGATATTGATCTGCTTTGACTATCAGTGAGAATTCAGGTGGAGTGCTGGTTACTTGGATTTCTGGTTAGATACCTCCTAGTTCAGGGAATAGGAGGTGGGGTTGCAGAGAGGGCTAGACTCTTCCACATTCAAGGCTGGTTGGCTCCTGTCTGTGTGGCAAGCCTCAGCCCTCTGGGAGTCACCTGAGTGACTGAAGGGAGGTGGGGGCATTTCTCATCCTGTCAAGTGCCTGCAAGATCTTGCCATGTGACAGACTCCAAATCTCAGCAGGTATAAAAACTGAAGAGTACCCATCCGCCTTGCCTTGAACAAATCTTTGTAAGCTGAAACTTCCTCACCATAAAACTGGAGTAATAATCCTTACCTAAAAGGTCTCTGGCAGAGACGAGGAAGAGCTCAGTAAGTGGCAGCTATACCAGGACGCCCTTGACTCTCATAGGTAGCATAGGATGGAGTATCAACCCAAAGAAAGCCAACAAATAGCTCTTCCTGGCTTTTCTGAAAAATGTCTGACCCTGAGCTTCCCTCAAGGTTAAAATACTATTCTCGCCCACCAAACTACCACGCTTTTGCTGCTACTTGTTTATATTCACGTGTCTGCTTGGGGAAGGACCCCTGCCCAAGAGTGAACATTCTGATCGCAATGTCCCCTTTCCCATGCATGGGACTCTGTCCATGCAGTCTCTGGGGCATTGTTGAACAGTGCCACCTCTCCCCCACCGAGGATGGGCTTCTTGCAGAGGACTAGGATTTTCAGTGTGGAAGGACCTTCCCTCTTCACTTTTGTTTCCCGGTCTTGGAGGGGGAGGCAAATAGCTAAAAAGCCTTCGACTTGGAGTGTTGGGGTAGGAGCTTCCCTTAGTACTTTCCCTAATGGAACAAAGAACCATCATCCATTCTTCTTCGTCATCTCGAAGTCCCTTTTGTGACGGACGGAGGCAGGCGTCATCAGAAGAGGGCAGAGAAAAGCCCACCGTGCAGATGCGTGCCAGGCGCGCGCGCTTTACTGCTTTCCTCAAATCTAAGAAGTGGCCCATCCGTTCCCTAAGGCCGCAGCCAGCCTCCGGTTCCCGAGAAGCCGGGACAGTGGTGGGTGACCTGCCTCGGGACCCTCACCCTAAACTCTCCCCTGGAGCCCAGGAGTGGGGCGAAGCTCGGTAAACACCGTGCGCCAAAGAACCGGGGAGAGCGAAGGTGGGATTAAGCAAAACAAAGGATCCGGGCGTTGAGCGCTGCATCCCGGCGCCGCGACCAGGAGGCCGAGGGGCGCCCGCCCCCCGCGCCCCGAGCCGGGTGCCAGCGCGCCGAGCCCGCGCCCGCGCCGCCCGCGCTCCGAGGCGCGCGTCTCCTTATATGGTCAAATGACACAGCGGGGGTTCTCTAGGGCGGAGCGGCTCCGCTCCACTCCGCAGGCTGAAAGCCGCCGCCACGGACCGCCGCTCGGTCGCCTGCCCGCCCGCCCCGTCCGGGAGCCCCTCGCCGGTGCCGCGCCGTGAGTACCTCCGCCCGGAGCCGCCCGCCACCCAGACCCGAGCGCCTGGCCCGCGGAGGCTCCGGCAGAGTCCAGCTGAACCCGGGGGAGGTGGGGAGCGACCACGGGGCAGGGCAGAGGAAACGTGGAGGGGACACCCCGGGACAAGGATCCGAACCTTAAGGGAGGGACCCGGGGGAGAGGGGCGACGATCTGCGGGGCAGAGACCCCAGAGAGAAGGGAGGCGAACTGTGGAGGGGAGACCAGGATTGGGGACCTGAAACGTGGGGGAGGGACCCTGGTGAAAGAAGACCCCGGGGAGAGGGGAGACGAATAGTGGGGGCGAAGGGTGGAAATTACTGGGCGAGGGGACCCGAGCGGTAGGGCGGAGACCCCGATACAAGGGAGCTGAATCTTGGGGAGCAGAGCCGCGGGACGGGGACCTAAAGAATGCGGGAGAGACCCCTGCGAAAGGGGAGCAGAACCGCTGGAGAGGAAAGGGGGCCCTGGGGAGAGGGCACCAGAACCGTGGAGGGGACCCCGAGTCCTGGGACCCGGCATGGGCGGGGGTGACCTCACGGACCTGGATACCTGAAACACTCACCCATCCCCAGAGGGAGGGCAAAAGCTCGAGTCCTCATGAGGTGGGTCACCACCAGGTGGCACGGAAGGGCTGAATCACCCAAGGGCGAGCCCCGGGCAAACTCTGGCGGCGGGTCCAGCCGCTGACCCCCGGAGGGAAAGCAGCAACTGTCCAAGCTCTCTGCACTCAAGCCGGACGCCGGAGGGGATTGCCTGGGCAGGCAGGTCTGCGCGCCACTGACCCAGGCATTTCCCTTCCATAGACAGAGGTGGAGTTTGCGGTGTGACTTACCTCCTTGACCAGGGCAGAAATTTAAAAACGGAACCATCAGGTTAAAGAACATGGGTTTCTTTTAAATGAAAAAGATTCTCATGTTTAAGTTGTGATATCTTAACATACCTGAAATTGTGGGAAGAAAATGGTAAAATGTTATTTTTGGATTGTAAAGGAGGAATCAGTCATATTTACTTTCAAATCTCAGTTGGGTTGGTTGGACCTAGTCTAACCCAATTTGATGAAATGTTACGGCTGCCTTCCTTTGGCCCAATTTATGGCATGCTAGCTCTTGCACATATTTTGGGAAGTAATAAATCACAATAGGGGCTTATAATCAGGAAGAACTGTCTTCAGAGCACTACTTTAAATACATTTCACATTTTTGGTGCTAACTCTGCTTATGTGTGTTCTGTAATAATGCATGAAGGAGGAGGCTTTGTGGTATCCTAAAGATAATTTAGATTTTTAAAAAATTTGCAGCAAGTATTAGAAGTGCAGGAATTCCTAGTCCAGGAATTAAACATCAATAAAACCCAACAAAGGAAGAGTTTTTTATGTATTAATAAAAAATTTCACAAGCTTTTCAAATTCAGCTGACTCCAATATGTAAGACTTTCGTATGTAGAAGTGCATTCCCGCAGTGTTTATCATTCTGTGGTGCTTTCAGATGTGTTTATACAGCAGCACATAAATAAGAGATCAAGTGTCTTTTTACTTTCCACCTAGGTTTTTATATTCAGCCTCTTTTCAGTTCAGTCACATTATATACCACCAGCAAGTGTGGTAGACTCCAGGATGCACCTGGACTGGACCTATGCTTTCTCAGTGCACATCTGGATCCCTCAGTCTGCATGGCTTGGTCAGGTCACCTAATCTCTTGGTGCCTCACTTTCCCCAGCTGGGAAATAGGGTCACACTGTCATTTTTATGGCAGGGTTATTATGAAAATTTTGAATATTTATTTTACAGAGAAACTAGTTCAGGGCTGGGAATATAACTCAGTTGGTAGAGTGCTTGCCTCGCATGCACAAGGCCCTGGGTTCAATCCCCAGTACCATCAAAAACAAAAAACTGAAACTAGTTCACAGCAAGATCAAAGTTTTCCCAGCCTGTAAAGGGTAACTCTGAGAACTATCCCACCTTAAACAAACTTCATGTGCTTTCTTTAGTGACAGAATGCTGGTCTTTCAGGACACTAGGCTTGCATTTTGACTTTGGTGTGAGCAAGTGAATTTCCTCTGTCATCCTGAATTGTGGATTTCAACTTTAGTGTCAACTTGGCTGGGCTGTGAGGTGCCCAGACATTTCAAACATTATTCGGATTATGTCTTTAAGGGAGTTTCTGGATAAGATTAACATCTATCTGAGCAAAACCAACTGCTTTCCCTAATGAATGTGGCCCTTATCCAATGGCAGAAGACCTCAGTAGAAAAGAAAGGCTGAGTAAGAAGGACTTTCTCCCACGGGACTTTGGTCCATTCTAGCTTATGGACTGGAACTGACGCATCTGCTCTTTTTGCATGTGCTGAATTTCAGACTGGAACTTGCTGGCGTTCCTGGGTCTCCACCCTGTCCACTGCAGATCTTGAGACTTTTCAGCTTCCCATAATTGTGTGAGCCAAATCCCTGGATAGATCCCTTGATTTACAATGGGATGAATCTTAATAAACCCATAGCAAGTTTAAAATACTGCAAGTTGAAAAAGGAAGCGTCCCAGCTCAGCAACAGAGCACATGTAGATTATTTTCCCCTCATGATTTCAGGGCTCATGGGGAGCTCTGTTTGCTGCCAGTGCCCAGCTATTAAAAGTGTCTACCATTGTGGGGGTCAAAAGATCACAAGTCTAACCACTGTAAACCAAGGACCCTCGGTGTATATCCTTGTATCTCTTCTTGGTTCATCTTCTCTGCAGAATCCTAATACGGCCCCTTGTAAAATTTATCTGATTAAAAACTCTCCCATCAGCTCTCATTCTTCCTACTGTGTTAACAGTGGTCTAGATTTTCCTTTTGCTGCAAAATATGGCTCTCTACGTGGCAAGGTACCAAGAGGCCTGGGCCCCATCTGGCCCTCATCCCCAGCCCAGTTCTCATGAATGGTTCTCGTGCTTCATCTGAGCCTCCACACACGTACGTGTCGTCACACTCATCCTTGGCTGTACCTTTACTGTTCTGATTTTGTCTGGGCCTTCAAGAAGCCCTCTAGGCTTATGGTCACAAGCAGCAAGGCCTGTGACATCTGTGGCAGTAAAAGAAGTAGCTTTCTTGTTTTGATGGGTAAATAGAATAATATCAGAAAGTGTCCTTGGAGCCCACGAATATTGAGGGCGTCAGTCAAAAAGAAAATAGGCCTCTGTTTGTTGACGCGCCTTCTAGACCCAGTAGAAACAGGCAGTGAGTGAAGCGGAAGGAAGTGTCCAAGGTCATCTCGACAGTCCAGTTCAGTTCAAGGAGCAGAACTGAAAGGATCGAAGAGGCCAGATGTTCATGGAAGTTGGGGGACACCAAAATAAAAGGGCAGACCGGAGGGGTCATAGGAAATGGAAGGCCAGGCAGCAAGAGAGTAAGCAGCCAACTGACCCTTGGAGATAGAACGAGGCGGATGAATGACAGCGGGTGATGTTTGTTCCAAAGGTGCAGAAACAGCACCAATAACTTGCTTATGCTTTCTTAGCAAGGCAGTGATTTATGAACTTGAGGCAGCCTGTCATTCCAGCCTGTATAACTGGGGTTGTCAAGCATCAACTGACCTGGCAGGTTTGGAGATCAAGTGACAAGATAGGACCTTAGGAGTGGTTTACATTTGTTGGAGCTAGAGCTAGACTGGAACTCCTTCGGAGACTGTGTTTGATCTCAGGTTCCCAGTGCCTAATACTATACGTGGGAAATAGTGGTTACTCAATACCTTCTCCTTGGCTAGATTAAGAAGCGGGAGCACAAGTGTAGCTATTCTTGTATTCAATTGACTTCAGATCATTTGATATTGACATTTACTGTTTTCCCATGCCTTTCCTTATTCAGCATTCAAAGGAAAATTCTGAGGACTGCAATCTTGAGAGTTACCAGGGTGGGTAGTATATTATAATACATCCCTCAACCCTGTCCTTAGATACCCTCAATAAAGGTTCACTAAAAGAAGCCATTATGCAGAGCGGTAAACATAGTCAGTGTTATATCTCACAATCCAAAATGGTTTACAGTCCTAAAATCTAAAAGTTGATTTCGAGTAGATTCAAGATACATGATTCTCTTCTTAGACACAGCAACATCCTTTTCACCAGAATTTCTATTAAAGGAAGCAGTTTGGCTTGGCAAATGAGAACAGTGATGGGGTGAGCCGAGTTTGTGTGTCAATACTTCCATGCAGAGGACACAAACTGGGGTAGCTATTCTCCCAGCTTGTTTCTGGGTGTGGGAGTCCCTCCCTGCCCTTGAGTGAGGGTAGAGAATGTTTGATGACAGACGCAGTGGTCTGTATGGAACACCTGGTGCCTACCCCTGGAGTCCAATGTGTGTGTGTGTGTGTGTGTGTGTGTGTGTGTGTGTGTGTGTGTGTGTAGGAGGGAATCTGTACATTTTTCCCAGAGCTTGGGAGTGTCTCCTGGCTGGCTTTTTGCTTCTTTATCTGGCCGGGCCACGTCCTGGCCAGTGTAATGGTGTGTTCA